CACTCGACTGCGTCCTGTGAGCAAGATGATGACATCGAGCCAACGTGTGTCAACTGCGGTGGAAACCACCAAGCCTCCAATCGCGGATGTCCCAAGCGAGTGGAGTTCATCAATATCCGTCGGAAGGCTACGATCAATAATCAGCCCGGTCGCCTCCGTAATCATCGTTCGCCTCCTGCACGCACGGAAGTCCAGTACCCAGCTCTCCAGCCCCGTCGACATGTTCCGAACTTAGAACCACTTCCGCTCAACAACCAACAAGTCAAGTATGTGAGTATTCCTAACAATCGAACAGTCCAGCATCGTCTCGGTGCTGCTGCTGCCCAGCCAATGCCAGGTCCCTCCACCGCCCCTGGTTTATCATACGCTGGTGCTGTCTCAGGTGAGCCTGTCGACGATACTCCGTTCACCTCGGAGGAACTTGTGACGCTCGTGGCCGAGGTCATCATCATCTTGCGCACCTGCAAGACTCGATCTGAACAGCTACATGCTGCCCTGTCCCTTGTCACTAAGTATGGACCGTGAAGCCATCAAGATCGTAAATTGGAACGCTTGCTCCTTGAAGAGCAAAAACATCGAGTTTGTTGAGTTTCTCAATGAACGAAACATCGACATTGCCATCATAACTGAAACCCACCTGAAGTCTGAAACAAACGTCTACCTTCCCGATTTCCGGCTCGTGAGGCTAGATCGAACCAACAATGGAGGAGGAGGAGTGGCTATTGCAATAAGGAGAAACATCTGCTGTCGACTGATGCCCAGCTTTCAGCTGAAGATCATCGAAGCCGTAGGGGTGGAAGTTTCTACTCCTATCGGCCCCATCACCATCGTCGCGGCTTACTGCCCCAAACAAGTCAACATCAGGGACGGATCGGCAGCAGATCTGCGACGAGATATTATCAAGCTAACACGACGACGGGAAAACTTTATCATCGCTGGCGACCTGAACGCCAAACATCAAGCTTGGGGCAACAATCGGCGCAATCAAAACGGCACCATCCTGAACAACGACCTGCAGGAAGCGCAGTACAACATCTTGAGTCCGGAAACTCCCACCCGGTTGAGTCGGTCCGGTGTTCACGCTACCATCGATATCTTCATCAGCAACATGGGCAACAACATCGCTCAACCTATCACCTATCAGGAACTCAGCTCGGACCACTACCCGGTGGTGACTGAGGTGGGATCCTCCGTAAATCGATTTGAAGCTTTCCGGCGCAACTATCATCGTGTTGACTGGGGTCAGTTCCAACATTGCGTCGACACCGCTGTAGACTACGATGTCCAACCGGAATCGTCCGAAGATGTTGACCGGTGTCTGCGCTCCATCGATCAAGTAATTTCCCGGGCCAGGGAGCTACATGTGCCAGTATCCAGACAGGTGAGTAATACTCTGAACCTTGACAGGCCTACTAAAGACCTCATTAGACTCCGCAACACAATTCGTAGGCAGTACCAGCGTACTGGGCTGCCTAAACTGAAGACCATTTGCAACCGTTTGAACAAAATCATCCAAGCCAGGATGGTGGATCTCAGAAATATCAATTTTGCAAACAAGATTCGCTCTCTCCCAGATTGTGCTAAGCCATTCTGGAAAATGGCAAAGATTTTGAAAAATAAGCCGAGGCCCATTCCTCCCCTTTCCTCTCCTAACCAAAATTTGGACCCATCTTTACTAATAACCCCATTTGAAAAGGCCAATGCTCTTGGACAACACTTTGTAAATTCACATAACTTTGGCCACGCCATGGTGAGTCCCCACGAGCCTGCAGTATCACAGGCAATGGCTAGTGTCGCTGCCACCCCCGTAGTTGTCCCTGACGAAAGTAGAATATCGGCTGATGAGGTGATAGCAGCGATTAAATCAACAAAGAACATGAAGGCCGCTGGTGTCGATGGAGTGGTCAACCTCGAGCTGAAAAACTTGAGTGTTGACTTCTTCAAGCACCTTGCAGTGGTCTTCAACAAGTGTTTAATGCTTGGCTACTTCCCTGCATGCTGGAAGTTAGCCAAAGTTATTCCAATTCACAAACCTGGCAAAGACCCTACTAGTGCCAAAAACTATCGCCCCATCAGCCTCTTGTCCTCCATCTCGAAGCTATTCGAAAAATTGATACTCAGCCGTCTGCTGGTGTTTTCAAATGATAATAACATCTTTCTCAAAGAGCAATTCGGGTTTAGGAAAGGCCACTCTACCATCCACCAACTCGCACGGGTTACTAACATCATCAAGCGGAACAAGTCCGTTTCCAATACATCTGCCATGGCATTGTTGGACGTCGAGAAGGCGTTCGACAATGTCTGGCATGATGGTCTAGTGTACAAGCTGCATCGATACAACTTTCCGAACTACCTCGTGAAGATCATCAAAAACTACTTGTCGGGCAGATCATTCCAGGTCTACTTGAACAATGTCTCCTCTGATACGTTCAACGTTGATGCAGGGGTCCCTCAAGGTAGCCTGCTTGGGCCTATCCTATTCAACATTTTCACGTCAGACGTTCCTCCCCTGCCGGGTGGTGTTATCCTGTCAATGTTCGCAGATGACACCTCCATCATCTATAAGGGTCGAGTGATCCGTGCTCTGGCGAGTAAACTACAATCAGGCCTGGATGTTTTGTCCGACTATTTTAAGAGCTGGAAGATTTGTATCAATGCAGCTAAAACACAAACCATTCTGTTTCCACATTCGTATTCACCTCGGCTTGTTCCGCCTGCTAACGTCAAGATCCATCTTGATAGCACTCCCATTGAATGGTCGAGTGAAGTAGTCTACCTTGGTCTCACCCTCAAATTGCTATTCCGATCCCATGTGGACAAGACATCCACCAAGTGTAACATCTTGATCAGGTCGCTCTACCCTCTGATAAACAGGAAGTCCACCCTGTCCCTCAAAAACAAGCTTGCTGTCCACAAGCAAATCATTCTGCCGGCTATTTAGTATGGTATGCCAATCTGGGAGAGTTGTGCTAAGTGCCACCACTTAAAGCTTCAGAGGATCCAAAACAAGATCCTCAGAATGATCCTTAACAGTCCACCGCGAACTCGTAATTCTGAGATTCACCACCTGGCCGGTCTTCAAACACTCAAGGAGCGAAAGACTTCCACGCTGGAAAGGTTCAGAGTAGCCTGTCTGCAATCAAACCACCAGATCATTCGTGATTTGGCAACCTAGTTTAAGTAGTTAGGTGCTCAAGTAGGTAGGTTATCAAATTTTTAAATTCAAACCAAAACAATCCCACAAAGGGTATCCTGTAAATTAGCGCTAAACGCAATCATCACATTAGAATAACCAATTAACTAGAACAAAGATGAAGAACCAAAGGCTAACCAATTGAAATGTTAAATCAAATGTTGAAACATAAAACCCAGAAAATAAACGTAAATTTTACTACTGGTATCAGCTCATTTTCGCTTCGGACGGCGTGGTCAGCAATAGCAGCAGTAGGAAGGTGGCTAGTCCACTTTTCTATAACCAACAAGCAACAATTGACTGGTCGTGGCAAAGGAGGTGCCAATCGTCATCGCAAATTCTTCGAGATAACCACCATCCGTCGTCTGGCTCGCCGTGGCAGTGTCTGACGTATCTCCGGTCTGATCTACGAGGTGTGCTGAAGGTGTTCGTGGAAAATGAGGTCCGTGATGCTGTCACCTACACTAAACAAGCCAAGCGTAAGTGGCCATGGATGGCCATCAAGCTTACATCAGTAAAGAGTTGGAATATAATTTAACTGTGCTTGTTTGTCCATATTCATAACCACAAGCCCCCAACGACCACACAAACTTGGAAGCAGGGGTGCAAGTGATTTTGATTGATTCTCGTAATCAACTTTCTTTTCGAAAAAGATTACTACAAATTTGGTACCCCTACAATTCAAAAACGGGAAGAGTTGAGATAATAGATATTTGATCAATTAAAAGAACTTAATGCTCTTCACATTTATTCCGTTCTTTAGTGGTCCTACGTCAAGCTTCCGTTCGTGCCCCTAGGCACAGACCCGTCTACTTTTTTTTTGCAAATTTTGGGGGTTCGTGAGCATTCTTGACATTGCTGAAAACTATGATAGCATCATATTGTGAGGTTTCTAGAGCAATAGGATGCTTTAATGATTGTTCACAAACCCTTGATCGCTTGTAATACTTATGAATATTTTAGGTGGCCAAAAAGGCGAACTAAGAGGTGGACGCCTGAGCTTTTCCACATTTATATCACCGTGAAGCAACTGTAAACTCTAGATGGAATTTATATCTGTAGCTGTAACCAGTTCGATTTTGTTTGCTAAGCTGGTTAAAATGTCATATTTAATTATCTTAAAGATAAATCGACCAGCTCAAACCTTTGTAGGGGTAAGAGGTGGGACCATCATCATCATAAATTTCTACAGCTAAGGGAAGCAATTATCTGAACTTCATTGAACTCACGAAATAGTATCCCCTTTGGCCACATTGCAGTCGAAAGAGCCTTTGCTTTTAGGTCAGGACTCATACCAAGTTTAAACGAAATTTTTAACATTTTTTGAGAAATTTTTGTTAAATTACTAAAAACATTATTTTTTTATATTTTCCCAGAAATAATTTTACTCAACAACCTTGTCTCGGACGTCGATCGGAAGTGCCGGTAGACTTCATTTTAAATAATTTTACAAGTTCCAAAATGGTCGAACTTTATTAAAAAATGTGCATCATTGCCCATAACAAACAATTCTAGATAGAGCAGGAATTAGGGCGTAACAGCTTTTGTAAACAATGCCTACTCTCGATGGTTTCTAGGAATTCAAGGCACTCCCACACAAACCAATACAACCATCGGGTAGGGAAAGACTTCCCCATGCAAAATTAAAAGCAAATCCGAGAAGGTGGAGATTTTTGCTATTTGGCATGGAACTGCTCTATGGGAATTTTTCCTTCTTTTAGTGAGCGTTTATTAGGCTGCCGAAATCCAGCCCACTACCAATATTGCATACCTCGCCAAATTGTAACTCAACGTCCTCCATTTCCAGAATGCTCTATTCGAATCATATCACGACATTGTGCTGCCACCTGTGATATGGAACACCCTGGCCACCTTGGAAGCTACAATCACAGATGGCTCGTTCGAAACTCTGCTGCAGTTGCTGAAGACACAGATTGAAGTTGAATCACAGAGAAATCCCGAACATGTCGTTTCCCCCAACACCATCACTTCATGTTCCACACGTGACCTACACAGAGTACATCGACGACATGACGCAGTTGAAAAGCTGCAATCCATCGATGACCTGCGGAGGCTTGCATCTTCCTACTCAAGAACAGCGGGAAAGGGCAGGGAAATATTGCTGCTAGACATCAAGCAAAAATTCGTGTGTCTGATCAACAAGTATTTTCCTCAGAAAGAGGCGATTACGGATGGAACACTCGCCGATGAATGTAATCAAAGGGTGCAACATTTGGTCGAGGATGGCGAAAAATCCCTCGGACGGTGGTGTATCCGACCAGATATCGCGGAACTAGACGAGCTCGTCCGGAAACTGAACAGCTCGGACGATTCGCAGACAATTGCCCAGCCAAGGACTCCACTTCAGAATGCTAAAACTCATCAATCGCTCACCATCATGCTGAAGAGCATCGATCGTTTTGAGCCCTTTTTGAAGGTTATTTTGGAGAAGACGGGAGCATTCAATGAGGTAAGTTTGAACCAATGCAGGTAACTGAAGACGATACTCATTTTTGGTGTTTCTTCCACAGCGGATCCAGTGCGATCTGGATACGCCCTTGCACTACGCCGTTCGGAGTCAGAACGCAAGCTTCATCGAGTGGCTGCTTGGGCAGAAATCTCTGGACCTCAATTGTCGCAACAAACAGATGAAGACGGCACTGTTTCTCCTATGCGAGCAGTACAAGGCCGTTAGACGGAAGGTTCGGGATCCCAAAGAAAGGGTCGATCAACTGAAGGAATGCAGAAAGTACATCATACTGCTGTTGCAGAACGGAGCAGATTTCAACATTTGTAGCAGCAAGGCTCTTCTGCCGTACGAGCTGCTCACTCAAAATGGAAAACCAATTACTCTATCGATCGATCATATGCAGTCAGAAGAGCAGGAGTTCCTTATTCAGTGTGAGAATGTAGTACAAACAAAGGGAGGTGGCCAAATTTTGAAAAGACGCGATGATAAGTTTACGACTGAGGATTTTAGAAGAATGACAGTCGAGCTGTTGGAGATCTTTTTACGATTCAAAGACCTGAATACGTTTGAAAAGGAATTTCGAAAATTTGAAGTTAAAGGTGACGACGAAAGCAAGGTGATAACACTTCTGCTGCACACTGCAGTTGAATTGAATCTTCAGAAGTGTGTGGATCTTATTGTGGGTCGTTATGAAAAAGTGATCTTTGCTGCAGTCCATGATACGTTCCATCTGAAATACCGTGTGGAACTGAAAGGATTGCTGCGAAAGGCTTGTGAGAGTTGTAATCCTGCCATACTAACGAAGCTTTTATGCAAAATGGAGAAAGATAAACTGCTCATCAATGACGAATGCATACTGGTGTACGCGATGAACCTGTGTACAAATATGTCCGATGAAAGCGATCGTAAAACAAATCTTCTGAAGTGTGCCAAATTGATGGCTACGGATCCGAGGATCTTCCACACAAAAACAGACTGTTATGGCAACACTGCTCTGCAAGTTGCACTCAAATATGGATTCACAGATATTGCCAAAGCACTAATTGTGGATCACAAGTACATGTTTTTGGGTGTTCAGAACAAGAAGGGCGAAACACCTCTGGACAATGCATCATACGAATTTTGCAAAGAGTATTTTGATCAGTGTGCATCACAAATTTACTCAGGGGATATTCTGATCGACCTGGATGGGATCAACCCGTACATATTTAAAAAATCACACGATAATTATAAGGAAATTCCCAGAGTGCGAACCCAGAAAGGGTCACATAGCCGGAATTTTCGGTCGGAAATGGCGTGCCTCAAGAAAATGGCCATTTCAAAAAATCACAAACAACTACTTCATCATCCGGTGATCTACACTTTCATCTTGGTTAAATGGCTGCGATTCAGCATGTGGCATTGTACTAACTTACTGCTAACTATGGCAGCTACAGCCGCATTTTCGTATTTTTCAATAACTCACATTTGCCATGACAGCTTTTCAATGCCATCCTACATTGCCAGTTGGTTTGGATTTACCTATGTCCTGTGTCGAGAACTACTCCAGTGGATAATGTTTGGCAATAAATATTTCCGACTATTTCAAAATTGGATCGATATGGCCCACGTCCTCGGAATGCTTATCGTTTTGGGATTCAAGGGTTGCTCATTGATCTCTTCATTGGTGGTAATCATCTTTGCAATTCAGATTATTCAGCTCATCGGTTCGCTGCCGTTCAACAGCATCTCCACCTACCGCTGCATGTTCCGGGTAGTCGCGCTAAACTTTATCAAAAGCATTGCCCTCTTCTGTCCACTCATACTGGCCTTTGCTTACAGCTTCTATCTGTACTACAATGACAAGTTGGTACCGGTCCATAGCAATGCCACTTTGAACCCATTCGCATCTGCCACTGCTACTGGAGTAAAAATTTCGGTCATGGCTTCCGGGGAGTTCGAGGCGTCTGCGATGAACATCAGCGGGAGTATGTTTATCATTTTCCTGCTGTTCATTTTTTGCATACCCATGGTCATGCAGAATCTGATCAATGGTCTCGCAGTCAGTGATATTTCTGAAATACGGAAACAGTCCGAATCGATCAGCCTGTCGGAGAAAGTGCTGCTACTTGCTCGTTTCGAGTCTGGTTTAAATCGGACCATAAATTATAAACCCATCAAAAGCATTCTGTTTTACTTGCGCAGGCTCTCCCCTGGTCTGTTCTTCAGGAACTATCATCACATCATTAAAATCGTAGTGAATGATGGAGCGAGAATAATGATAGACTCCCGATACTCACGGCACAGCTGTTATGGTAAGCAATCCTCTAACTGTTCGAAATTATCTTGCCTTGCACGACAAACCAAATCGTGGAAAGGAATGCAAAATGGTGCCACCGACGCACCCAGCCAGACTGATGTCGAGATGGGAGCACTGCTCAATAATTGTACAGACAGCATATCAGTGCCAAATTCACCTCTAAGGAAAAAGCAAAAAGCATCGAAAAATCCTTGGGAGTTCATTCCCAGAATTCCCGTGCTGGGGCTGTTCTCGCCCGTGGCCACGCTCGATGAACCCGTACTGGAAGAGTTGCTGTCCATTGTCAAGCGGAAAGCGATCAGCAATGCACGGAAGCCGAGAATAGAATCATCAAAAGCCCATCTCAAAACTGCTTCGTTCACCGAAAAGCTAGGTTATAATCATCATCAAACTGCAGGGGAATGTTTCACTTGAGGTGGAGTTCTGAGAGAGTTTGTTTAAAACATTGTCGCAAAACCCAGATGGTTATATCCTGTACGACTGCTTGTGGAACTGAATCACAATCAAAATTATCTCTGCATTTTTGTTTTTTTTTTATTTTCTACCAGGCTAATACAAGGCAATTCTTTTCTCGGTGCTCTGCACTGAAGATAGTTTTCGCATAGTATCTGTTAAGGAACGCACATCATATTGTTCAATTACAAAATTAATGATTTTTTTTTTTTTTTTTTTTAGAATATCACATTACATAAAAGTCTTCGGTTTTAGAGTACGGTAGTTTTTGCTTCCAGTCGGCGGCTAAAACGCACATCATCAAACTGGAACGGATCCAGTATCGCTGTCTTCGTATCGCGTTAGGATGCATGCACTCGACTCATACGATGAGTCTCGAAGTGTTAGCGGGCATGTTGCCACTCTCTGATCGGTTTTCGGAATTATCTCTCAGGCTCCTCACCCGTTGTGAAATTATGAACCCACTGGTGATTGCAAACTTTGAGAAGCTTCTTGAGCTAAACCCTCAAACTCGTTTTATGTCATTGTACTACGTGTACATAACACAGGATGTCAGCCCTTCGCAGCATAATCCCTATCGTGTTTGCTTCTCCGACTTCGACAATTCTGTTCTATTTGATTTATCCATGACGCAAGAGATTCGCGGAATCTCAGAGCATCATCGTTCCATGATTTCTCCGTCAATTTTCGCTGCAAAGTTTGGCCAAGTTGATTCCGCAAGATCGTTCTTCACAGATGGGTCACTAATAGAGGCGTCCGCAGGTTTCGGTATTTATAACGAATTTCATAGCGCCTCTCGAATGCTTCATGCTCCTTGTTCCGTATATGTTGCTGAACTGGCGGCAATACATTATACGCTAGAAACGATCGCCTCACTTGCACCAGATCATTATTTTATTTTTACGGATAGTCTCAATTCTGTCGAGGCTATTCGCTCCATGAGGCCGGTAAAGCACTCCTCGTATTTTCTCATGAAAATACGAGAGCTTCTAAGTGCTTTATCCTTAAGGTGATACGGCACGTCATCCAACAATGGCTGTCCCTACAATCATTAAATAAACGTGTTTTGGTATGCGTACGAAAGACATCTTCCTACAAAACAGTAAATTACTAATTACATACCTTAAAAAATGGGCCTGAATTGGATGAATAAGATCTGGATACATATTTTGATACTTTTCCACCAAAATATTGCCAATTCCTTCACGCATTGGTAATATTTGCATTAAAATGTACGATCAGTCGATTTTGTTCTGCCCAGGGCATCAAATTTCAATAACTGTTTTCACTAGTTTTCACTTCTCAGAACCACACTAAAAACAATTACGACACGTGCTTCTACAAGCACTTTCAAGTTAATTAACTTTTAAAGACGATATTTGCTTAAATAATATAATTTGCATCGTTAAAAACGCGAGCCGCGAATAATTTTGCAAGCTGAAACTGTTTTGTTTACCTTTTTTCTACACCTTGCATTGCGAAGGTGTGTGTACGAATCATCTATCATCGTATCCAGTGTTGTCGATTTAATTGAATCAAATTGTGTAAAAACAATGCTTTTATTGCTTTTTAATGTGCTTAAAATGTGTTCAATTTAGAAACAATCACTAATAAATGTTTAAAACAATTTCTAATTTTGTTTCTCAAGACAAAAAATCAAAGTAAATAAATCTAGAAATCTTCTATAGAAAACATATGTGTCGTTCTGAGTGCACTGCTCGAAGCAATCAGCTGATATGCAAAAGGCGGCAAAAGGATGATTCTAAAACAAAAACATACACGATAAGAAAAAATATCCAACGGCCAGTTCATTTTTGCCTACTTTTGACTTTGAGTATAATCATATACACTTACTTTTGGGTACAACTAACTATTTTTGGGTAGAAGAGAATTGTCAATTCCATACTAATTGAACACAAGTAAATGAAAACTCTTCACCCACATTACCTACTTTTGGCTTCCTGCAATATAGTGCCGAGATTTGTGAAAATGAGTCACTTTGGGATCTTTTTTCTCACCGTGTACCCGCAGGTTTGAGCTCTGGAATCACTTTTGGACAGGTCGTATGTAACAAAAGTGTACAAAGTGTGATGTTGAATCAATTAACTACTATGATGACTTGACATGTTGGTCTTGGTGGCTAGGCGCATAATTATTTTCTTTATAGGAAGGGGTGTCCTGGGAAGTGGTAGGTCGATAATATTGGCAATTCTTTACCTTTCTATTTTTTTAATTAACATTTACACATTCGACCTGATAATAATGAACTCTAGAAGCTATGTTTACGGTAGTTGCGGTAGTGCATGATGTACACTCACACCACTACAGCATCAATGATAATCAATTCACTGACACATAGAAAGGAGAGAAAAAAAGCAAAAAAAGCGTGACGTATCGTATCACCTTAAGATCTTTTGTCATCACCTTTGCATGGGTCCCATCTCATTGCTCGATTCCGGGCAATGAGATGGCTGACTCACTTGCAAAGGTGGGCGCTATGGAAGGCGATATTTACGATCGACAAATCGCCTACGACGAATTTTTCTTCATTTATCGTCAACAGTCACACGCCAGCTGGCAAAATAAATGGAGTGAAGGGAGTTTGGGACGATGGTTATATTCAATCATCCCTAAGGTGTCGAAGTGTCCTTGGTTCAAGGGGTTGGATGTGGGTCGAGACTTCATTCGTATGATGTCTCGCCTCATGTCCAATCACTACTCGTTAAACGCTCACTTGTTCCGTGTTGAGCTGGGGGACAGTAATCTCTGTGAATGTGGACAAGGTTACCAGGACGCAGATCACATTATTTGGTCATGTGCTGAGCACCGTGGAGTCAGATCCGAATTGTACGATTCCCTTCGGGCTCGAGGTAGACAACCTAATGTTCCAGTTCGGGATATTTTGGCTAGACGCGATCTGGAGTTTATGCAACTCATATATGTTTTCTTGAAGAATATTAACCATAGATTGTAAGTTTGATTAACCTTGTGTTTAGTTTGTGTTTTGTATGTGTGTGTGTATTTTTTTTTTTGTAGATTTGTTTCTGTAATAATTGTATAATTACAGAGTTGATATAACGTCGATAGGATTAAGTATATGTTTTAGAAATAGTGACATTTTTTAATCATAAATCATATTCCAAATCTCCTTTTCCCTCTCCCGATTCAAACAATTGTCATCCACTAACCTCGAGAAGACCGCGAGTAATCGGTTCCAATCCTTTAATTTTAGATTTAAGACATTTATAATGTATAAAGAAAATGATAACTTGGCTCTGTAAAGTTTATTCGATTGAGCCTGTACAAATAAATTAATTAAAAAAAAAAAAAAAAACATTACATAAGGTTTAACATTTTTATGTCCATTCATTCGGTACATAAGGTTCATGTGATTTTGTGATGCAATTTCCAATTACGAGGTCACATGAATGTCACTTGTATATTTTCCACTAGTTATGTGATTTATTTGATGAGTGTTGAGGGAAAATATTTCTTTATTTCAAAGTTCTAAAAGCAGTGTAAATTTCTGTTCAATATGATGGACATAAATGGAGCGTCACATATCATATATTTTACATTATATATCATGTAAAGTTCTAACACATTTCATGCAATGTAGCAAATACTGTAAAAAAAAGCCCATCTTTGTAAACATTGTTTACAAGTTGCTCGGTTGCGTGAAATGAAATTCAGGTTTACGCGAATTAATGTTTACATCACAATTAAAATTCAGAATTTTATCTGTGTAGTTTTAGTGAATGTCATTTAAAACTACTCTGAGAAGAGATTGATAACAAGTGAGACGTCCTCCGCAGACGCTCCACAGATGTCTCCAGAAGAAAATTTTGCCATTCATTCAGTCACACGAAGGTCCCGTAAAGTTCTCGCCCGCCTTAGCCAGATGCCATTACAGGGTGAGTGGTAATTTCTGTCAGTAAGGTAAATGGTCATAAAAATGAGAAGCTGGTATGAAATTTAATTTTCAGTGTATTTCCTGTTTGGTGTATCTAAAACATTTGTCTTGAATTACTCCAGTTCAAATCTTTCTTCTTTTGCCTAAATTACCAGCCGCATGCGTCTTTGAAAAGCGTTACAGCTGGCAGGCACGATATCTTGAGGCATTTCGTCCCATTTTTCAACAAACGTTGCTTAAAAGTGTCCACGGTTCCTTAGTTTGCCTAGCATGTAGCCCCATGCACTAGCACGCCTCTAGTGTTGGGAATCTAAAATATTTGACAGTGGTTTGTTTACACTTCTATAGAGAACAACTGGTGCAAATTTGATCAAAGTAGTCGATCGCGTTCAGAAATAACGTCAAATGGAACTCGAAAGAAGAAAAAATATTGTGCACAAACACCTGGTAAATCCAGAGTGGTCCGGTTCCAAGCTGGCTAAAGTGCTGAAGATACCGAAAACAACAGTGGTGTGGAAAGGAATCAGTGGACCTACGAAATCTGGAACGTAAGGTAAGGTCAGCTGCGCAGCAAGGTGTAGAGGTGCGTTAAAGCCAACCCCGGTAAAAAGTTCCCTGAAATTATATGGAGGTTCCCGATCAATAGCTTAATGAGCTTCCCTGAAATAAAATAATGTTCCCTTGACTTCTACAAATTTTCCACTTCGACGCAGTTTTCCGAACTTTTCCAAGTTCCTTTTTGACGTAGGACTACGTCTTTGATTTCAATATGGGGGTACACTTTGTGAAAACCGAAAATGGAACATGTAACAAATTAAGAAAGATTTTGAACGTTAATAACTCAGCTGCCCCTGGTCCAATTTCAATAATTGTATCACCAATCGATCAGAAATATGGCCACGCATCGATAACAATGCTCTCGAATGTTGATTTTCAACAAGAATTAATTGAAAAACTGGTAATTGTCCAGCATTGTCCAAAAGCGTCGAATTAACTAACAAATCCACCAATTACGTATATGCATATGCTGCTTCCCCAGCACAGTCGTCTGAGAGTAGTAAGTAGACGAAACAAGTCGAAGTGGCATTCGCCTCCGATCTTCGGGCGCGTGCGAATAGGGAGGATGGAATTGCGTAATATTTTGCACACTCTTCGCCATACTCAGAAACACACGCTCCCAACGACCACACCACTGTGTGGTGGTGTTCGGTCGTCGAAATTAGTAGCAGCAGTAGCAGCAGTAGTGAGGTTTCGGCGTGTGGCGTTGAAAATTGTTCTCCAGTAA